TACCAATGGAACTACCAGAGTAAAGAAATATCCAAGACGCGCAAGCTAGTACAATGGCAATTTGAACAAGAGAACGCTCACTTTTCTTTTCTTTCTTTCTTTTTTTCTATTTTGTTTGGGTACCTACTAACTCCCCTTAACGCACATACACGTGTAACTCTACCCGAAAGCGGAGCTCAATAGAAGCAAGAAAGTTCAATTGAACCCCTTCGTCGAAAAAAATCTACTGCACAAATAGGGCAAAAATAGATTTTATCGGTTAAATATGAACTACCGAATCCCTTTGATAGAAAGGTAGATTCTTGTAGTGGCAAAGTTTAAAATGCGTTTAGATCAATGGTTCAAATCCTAAGTGTGATACTTTAAAGCTTTTTGAATCCCCGTGTATGAATTTATGGCTCCACCCTAACTCTAGCCAACAAAGTTTAGGATGATAGAAACATTTCACCTAGCGTTCTCCATCCTAGGATCTGAAACTTGGTTCATAAGGGGGCTGCAAAGCCACCCCCTTGGGGCAAAATATCACTCAAATTGTTTTTCCTATGAAGGTGATGTCTAGGTCAACTTGCAATATCTTAAGTATTCCACGAGGCACTTGCTAGTTGCTACCTCCAACCATCACGGTACCAATAAATGTTCACCCAGGCTTGGACATATGGGAAGAAATCACCTAGTGGTTTTTGCTTTCCGCTCGGATTTGACCATGAAACCTCATGGTTCAACTCACTTCATTGACCACTAGACCACACACTTGAGTGCTTCTACTTTTGAGTTGGATTTGCCAACTTGCGCATACCTCAAATAATTCATGGGGCACCTGCTACCTCCCACCAGCACATGTACCATTAAAATTGTCCACCAGAGCTTGGACATATGGAGCACAATCAGTGCTTTTTGCCTTTGCTTTGAAGCTAAGACCTCATGGTTCTCAACCCACTCTATTGACCCCTAGGTCACAACTTGGGTGCTACTACTTTTGAGTTGGATTTCGAGGATTGTCACCGAACCAACTAGGAACTCTTCCAATTGAGCTATATACTACATTAACAAAGTTTTTATTGGCTTATAATAACATAAACAGAAAGAGATAGCAGGTCGTAATACCAATCCTTCAATCTGAACAACCCTGAGTGGCGGCGCCACAGCCTCCTCTGTAGCTGCCACTTGCAAAAACGACCGCCCTGTTGCTGCATCAAATCAAATTGAAAGGGGTTAATTGCTAAACTACACATATTGCACACAAAAAAAGTACTCGTTTAGGAATGGTAGCAAAATTATACGTACGATTTGCCATTGACGAAATCGGTGAGAGAAATTAGGCAGAGAATTTGACTGAATGCAAAATCTTACTCTCTGCGGGAAAAAGTTCGAAAACCAAAGCCCTAATTGCTGGAGAGGTTTGCTCTTTATTTGTTGAGAGAAGATGAGATGGGAGAGGAATTGTCACTAATGGGCCGGCCCATTACTGTCTACACAAGGATTGGGCCAGCTTAAAAACTTGTAAAAATTGCACGGGGCGCCCTATTCTTTTAACCTGTAGCCGCTTTGTTTTTTTGTTTGCATTCGTATCCACTTTTTAAGAAACGGCTTAAGTGTTTATTTTATAACTGGACAACTTAAGCTGAAAACGGTTTAAGTGTTTATTTTATAACTGGACAACTTAAGCTGGAAACGGCTTAAGTTTTTATTTTATAACCGGACAACTTAAGCTGGAAACGGCTTAAGTTTTTATTTTATAACCGGACAACTTAAGCTGGAAACGGCTTAAGTAAACTTAAGCTCTAGAGCTTAAGTAAAACTTCAACTGAAGTTTTCCAGTACAAAAGAAACACTTCAGCCCTGCGGGCTGAAGTTATGTGAAAAAGCGGGTACGCTTGCAAACAGAAAGATAAAACGGGCACAAGTTAAAATGTGGCAGAAAAAATGGGTACGGCTGCAAATACCCCTAAAAACTTGAAGAAGATTTTTACATAAATAGCCCATCGGATTCACTATTTATTTTTCCTAACAGGTATATATTGATTATAAACAGATCATACACGATTATACTCATTATACATATGTCATACATTCAGGGGCTATTTTAGCGTTGGATAAAGGGAAAAATTGGCCTCCTTCTTGAGGAATGTTATACAATGTCTGTTAATCATCTTAAGGAATATTATACAAGCTTGGACTCCTTCAATTTTGATATTCAATATGTTTGGATCTAGAGTTAATTATGTTTGACTAAAATTTACCCTCCATGTTTAACGCTTTTTTGGTCAAACATTTCCACCGTCAAACTTGCACACTAATATTAATAATAGTTTGACTAATAACCAATAGAAGTGGTAATAATGTTCATGGGAAAAAAGGGCAACTTTTTGGGGAATTTCTTTTAAAAGCAAGAAATTATTTAGGCTCGTAGGATATCTTTTTTAATACATGCATGTTTTATGAAACTCTTAGGGGCGTTTTTCTTTTTCTGTTTGGTGTAAGCTCGGGGTCGTTTAATTGGGAAACAAGTCATTCCGAGATTAGTTATCCCATCTTCTTATAGGAAAAAAAAAATATTACAATCCCGAGATTAGTTATATTACAATTTTATCCCAATTAAACATATGATAAATATATTTTAAATTTAATTTATAATTAATTATTCATTATCCCTTATACCAAACGAGCCCTTTAAAACGTAAAAATCAAGAATTGGGCTCGCGGTGCTGACTGTGAGTTTAACTTTTGTTAGCTTTATAAAAATAAAAAAAAAAGTGTGGAATAGGCAGAAACTTTCATTAATAACATATTGTAACGGAATATTTAATTTGCATGAAAAAAACACCGACTAAATGAAAGGAGAAAGCGACACAAAACACTCCATCTATCTTTCTCTTCACGTTTAAGTTTGTGCCAATTCTTGCTTCTTATGTTTCATTATGGAGTTTGTTCAGGCCATCTCCAACCTCTCCCCTATCCCGCATAATGGGGAAAAAAAATAGGGATTTTTTGCTCCAACTCACCTCCAAATTTGTAATAGTAATGGGGGATGAATAATGTTCCCTTAAATATAGGGGTACACTATTCATCTCCCCCATTACTATTCACTTATATTTTAATATTATTTTAATTATTTAATCTTTTATTTTAACTCTTTATATATACTAATTATGTTTATGTAATATTTTTATAATATTAATATTATATCTTAACTTTGGTGTATAATTTTGATAAATTAATTTTCGTGCATTTATTATTTTTATGTAAAATTATTAGTTAATTTTGTTATATATATAATTATCTCAAAAAAATAAATAGTGCAAATTTAAAATATTAGATGTTGTTAATATTGAAAGATGCTCATTTTGCACTTCGTAATGCATTAGTAGATCATTTATGGGAGAATACTAGAGGTTGAAGTACAATATTTATATAGTATTTCGAATGAATTTTATCGTTATGTAATATGTATTTAATTAATTTTGTATCGCAATGATTTCACTTTTATTTGAATTATTAATTAAACTATAATAATTGCTTATCAATTATATTATTTAAAATTTTATGAAATTATTTTAATTATGGAAATTGCAAATTTATAAAATAAAAATGGAATTTGTTTATTGAAAATTAAAAAATAAAATTAAAATGAGAGATAATAATAAAAGATGAAATTTATTTAATGAAAATTAAAAAATAAAATTGAAATGAGATATAATAATATAATATTGAAGAGAGAGAAGAATATAAAAAAAATTGGGAGAAAAAATAAGGGAATGGTTAGAGTAAGTTGTCCCCAAAATGGGGATTTCCCCATTATGGGGGCAAAATATAGGGGCAAGGTTGGAGATGACATCAATTGTTCCAGCTTTAGACTTATATACTCTCACATTCCTTATGCACATATATGATTGAAGTTATATACATTGATATAAGTATAAAAAAATTTGCAGCAAAAAAGAAAGAAAGATATAGTATAAAAAATTTTATATTGCATTCTCAGTATATTTTAACATGTTATAGCAAATAATCTGTCTTATAGTTTTAGATTACAAATAGTGGCGAAGCTAGATATTTCTCCAAGGGCATTCAAATTTGAAATAAGTGAAAAAATTTCTCGACAAATGGTGTTCAATATATATTATATACCTGTAAAATGTAATATTTTATTTATATAAACAGTGCAATTTTTTGACGTAGGGTGGTCAACTGACCATCCTTGTGACCATGTGGCCTCGCCAGTGACTACAAACACCATTAATAATGAATTGTTATAGGTAGTTATTTTTTAGTGGAGTACATGATACAACAAATATGCATTTTTGCATTGTATATCAGTGTATGTAAGTTAAAACTCCAAGACTGATATACCTTGAAACATGCACTGTACATGACATCGCTTCATCGAAATTTTTTACTATATATGTAGCGGGTATAAATATATAAAAATATACCACTTATCATCAGTTTCGAATCCATGATTTTAAAGTTAAGGGTGCTAGCCGATAAAAATGAATGTACTTGTGGGTGTTCGCTCAATATTTATCTAAATATTTGTACAATTTCCTAAATAAATTTATTAATATGGTCAAAGTTAATGGGTGCTTAAGCACCCACAACTCTCTATGTGCATCCGCCACTGCTTATCATTATAATAATTTATTCATTTGTTTATTTTTTTAAATGTTACTACCGCTTATCAAAAATTAGGCCCTGGTTACTCATGTATATAAGAGAATTTTTCGAAAGTCTTGACTCATTTGAACCATGAACAATTTCTTGAAATTCCATAAAAATCGAATATATGGAAAGCACTTTGACTAATGAACAGTGAACAACGAAGTGGATCGTGTCTGAGAAGTAAAGCAAAAAATATCTCTAAATAATGTTTAATCTTACACTTAAAGTACGGATATGTAGAAAAAATTGCAACAACTTTTATCTACTTTCAAGCCAAGCTATGTAATCCCACTAAATCCTCCAATTTTCACCACTAAATACACTACATATAAATATTAATACTATGGTTTTCACTTGATTTATCCAAAATCATAGGCAAACCAAAAACAAACACTAAATCATATATCATGGCTGAGACAAAGATACTCTTCATTTTATTTCTTGTTTTGTTAGTTGAGTCTCTTGGAAATGTACTTGAGAAGAATCTTGATGAAGAAATTTTTTCAGAGTTTGATGATTTTGATGACATTAATGAAGATGAAGAAGAAGTATTTGAACTACAGAAAAATGGAAGGGGGAATAAAGTTCTTGTCAATGTTGATAGTTTTGGTGCAGCTGGCGATGGAAATTCAGATGACACCAAGGTAAAGATTATGCTTTTAGTTTTTTGGTAAAAGAGTTATACAGACCTCTCTATAACAATATCCCTATATAACAACACTTTACTATAAAAGTTAAGCTTTCCGGAACCAATTTTTAGTTATAATATATGTTCTCTATAACAGCACTTCGCTATAACACCCAAAAATATTTGGAACAAACGAGGCTGTTATAGAGAGGTTTGACTGTATGTACTGACAGTACGAAACCAACAACAACAAATACAGTAAAATTTCACAAGTGGGGTCCGGGAAGGGCAATGCATACGCATGACCTTGCCCCTACCTTAAGAGGACAGAGAGGTTGTTTCTAGCGTTGGCTCTAGGGGAAAGCCACTGAAGCAGTTGCTTTAGGCCCTCTAAAATTGAAGGGTCCCAAAATTTTCAAATATATATAAAAATCAATTTGATGATGATTTTAATAATTAAATAGCGAAGTCTCTTGTAGTATATATCATTTAGAGTTGATTTTTTTTTTTTTAATAAAGAGTGGATTAAGATATTTGTCACTTAGAAATAGACTTGAACCATTTAAATGTGTGAAATTATACTGACATTTATTTGGTGGTACAAAATTTAGATTATAGATTATGAGAATTTATAAAAATATTATCTTAATCGTCAATATATATATTTTCAAAATACTATCTAAGCCTTAGTGAATAATGGTACCAAAATATTTGTAATAGTGAGAGCTAGCAGGTAAATGAATGAATGATCAAGATACGTACAAGATGCATGGTCGATATACCATCATTACAAAAAAAAAAGTGTCAAATCTTATTAAATAAATTTAAGTCCTCTTATTAAGGTTTGGCTTCAGGTTACCACTATCGTTGAGCTGCCTCTGGCTTTTTTCGATCTTAGATGTATTAACAGTGTAGATTTTTTATTTTAACATGTTATATATAGTAGCCTGCCTTGTTTTTAAAGTTACTTATCTCACTTTTTATGGACGATTATCTGTAGTTAAAGTTACATTCTTCCACTTTCTAAAATTGCTGTAATTTTCAGGCATTTGTAGATGCATGGAACCAAGCTTGTTCTAAACGAAGATCAGTTTTCTTGGTCCCTTCAGGACGCACTTATCTTGTGAATGCAACCAAGTTCAGCGGGCCTTGTGCCAACAGACTGATCATCCAGGTGATTACTTTAATCCTGTGGTTAATTTCATATAATGTAACTGAATTTTACCCACTATAATATATAGTACAACAACAACGACAACAGCCCTTCGGGGATGACCCAGTTGGTTTGGAGGGCGGTCATTCATGCAGATGACCTGGGATCGATCCCCCCTCAATGCCTTCTGGGTCGAGCCTGTCGTCGCACACGGGTGGTTTACAGTGGGGGTTTAGTGTTTATCCAGTGCTCACCCGACCACAGAGTGATCAAATTTATCACTCTAAGTATAGAAGTCGTCTAGCTTTGGAAATTTAATTACCAAAATCACTATATCTTTAGATTTTACTTGAAAAACTTGCTTATAATAAAGTTATTTTTGTCATAAATTGAAAATGTAATTTATTAACAGGTCGAAGGAACCATAATAGCACCAAGTGATCCTGAGGACTGGGATCCAAAAAGTCCAAAAGCTTGGCTTGTGTTCAACAATTTGACAGGAACTACATTCCAAGGAAATGGAATTATTGATGGATCAGGCAGCAAATGGTGGACAGCATCATGCAAGAAGAACAAGACCAATGTAACATACACAATAAGCTATATAACACGCTCTTTTCGTTTAATTTTTTGTCCGACAGAGGCAGATCTAGGGCGGTTTTGCTGGTTCAACTGAACTCAATGGTTTCTGCTCGACTATGTATACCAAAGGGCAGCCCGGTGCACTAAGCTCCCGATATGCGCGAGGTCCGGGTAAGGGCCGGACCACAAGGGGATGTCGTACGCAACCTTCCCTGCATTTCTGCAAGAGCCTGTTCCCACGGCTTTAAATCCTAGATCCGCGCCTCTGTTGACAGACAACTAGATTTTGATATGTTGATATCCTCATTTTGAACAAACTTTAAATCCTAGATTCGCGCCTCTGTTGATGTTCTAACTATTTCTTTTCTTTGGTTTTTTGTGTGTTGATAACAGCCTTGTAAATCAGCACCAACGGTAAGGACTTTATTCTTATAGTCTTGACTCTTTGTTTTATTTCTATTATCTTCTTAGCTCCTTTAATTTAGGAAGAAACTTCAAATTGCAGGCATTAACTATACACTCAAGCTCAGGTATAAGGGTGAAGGGCCTTACATTCCAAAATAGCCAACAGATGCATTTTGTCATTTCTCGATCGGATTCTGTACGTGTAAATGGCATTATGATTTCTTCTCCTGGAGATAGTCCTAATACCGATGGAATCCATATAAGTGAATCAACAAATGTTGTACTCCAGGACTGCAAAATCGGGACAGGTTTCCACACTATCCCTCTATATGTCATGTTATCTACTTTCCGTTCTACTCATTTCTCTGACAACAACAACATACCCAGTATAATCCCACAAGTGGGGTCTGGGGAGGGTACTGTGTATGCAGACCTTACCCCTACCTCGTGGGGTAGTGAGGCTCGTCAATTCTCTGACATTAAAATAAATTGCAACATCATTAGTTTCACAATCTAAAAGACCGATCTGCTTGCTCGATGTAATGTACATGCAAAACTATGGAATGTGCTATTTTCAGCAAATTTCATATTTAATGTGTGTTTTGTGGTCAAAGAATGAATATGGTTACCTTGTTTTTGATATGTAGGCGATGACTGCATATCAATCGTCAATGCTAGTTCCAATATCAAGATGAAGACAATCCACTGCGGTCCTGGTCATGGAATCAGGTAGTTTATTCCACATAAGTTGAATCAGTGCTGAAGTATTGTTCTAACTTATTGTGAGAATTCATCATGAAATGACTAGTTTTACGCTGACTGTTAACCTACGGAAACACTCCTCCTTTATCCAGGCTTGGGATTGAGGCGTAGTTGTTGTTCTTGTTGTATTATTCTAACCTATGTTCCATCAATTGATTCTGTTACATGATTGATCTTTGCCCAGCATTGGGAGCCTTGGTAAGGACGACTCTGTCGGCATAGTGACAAGGGTAGTACTGGATACTGCATTCCTCAAAGGTACCACAAATGGCCTCAGGATCAAGACATGGCAGGTACAAGTTGTTATAACTTTAGTAAAAGGGCAGCCCGAGGCACTAAGCTCCCGGCTCCCGCTATGCGGGGGGGGTTCGGGGAATGGCCAGACCACAAGGGTCTATTGTACGCAGCCTTACCATGTATTTCTCCAAGAGGCTGTTTCCTTTTTACTTGTTCATAATTGCATTTAGTTTCTATAGGGAGACTGATGTGAAGTCCTTAATTTTCATAGGGAGGATCAGGTTATGTTCGCACAGTCCGCTTCCAAAATGTAAGGATGGAAGATGTTTCAAACCCAATCATCATCGATCAATTCTATTGCGACTCACAAAAACCTTGCCATAATCAGGTACAATATAACCATAATCGTCAAGCTAACTTTTCTGTGCTTCGGCAGAGGCGGAGTCAGGATTTGAAGCTTGTAGGTTCGGGGATTCTACTTCGTTAATGTTACTAGGTTTTAACTTAACAATTTATACATATTTAGTGATTTTTTAAAGTCATATACAGAGTTTGGACCAAAGTTACTGAATTTGGCCGAACCTACAAGTCCTACACAAAGTATGACAAAGTGTGTTTAATTTGACATTGTAGACATCTGCAGTTGAGATAAGTGAAGTAATGTATCGCAACGTTAGTGGAACATCAAAGAGTCAAAAGGCGATGAAATTCGCGTGTAGTGACACCGTCCCTTGCAGCCACATTACTCTGGACAATGTCAACTTAGAGGGTAGAGATGGCACAGCTGAGGTCTACTGCAACTCTGCGACAGGCATTATAGCCGGCTACGTTCATCCTGAAGCAGAGTGTCTCAACTCATCTGATAAGAAAATTGAGCAGAAAATCGAAGAATACAATGTTCACACTGAGCTATGATTTGGCTTCCTTTTGTCTACAATTCAACACTATTATTGAAGCAGATATTTTGATTACAAAGCATATAGTATAGTAATATATAGTATTGTAAGTATTCATTTGTGTAATCTCAGATTCTGAGATTTCTAGCTAAGATACAAGCTAACTAAATCATTTTACAAGGGATGCCTTTGAAATGTATCTATATAAATTTACACTTGATTTATCTTTCCTAGAGAAACTTTATGTAATACTTCCACTTATTGCAATTATGTTTTGTATCCAAATATATTGAATGAGAAGTTTTATAATGGTCATTTGCTGTTTATTTTCCTTTTATGTGTAGTCAAATTATATCGCGGACGAAAATAGGTGAGAAATTTAAAAATAGCCAAATTTATAAGTGGTCATTCAAAAATAGCCACAGTTTCAAAAGTAATCAAAATTTAGCCCCTTTTGCATGTAAAGATAAATCTGAACGAAAACACTGTTCAAAATCCGGATAAATACTCCAGCATAATATGCTGGAGTTCCAATATATTTACTAGTCCAGCATAATATACTAGAGTTTGGAGCACCGGTGCTCCAGTCTCCAGTATATTATACTGGAGCCAGCAGAGTATACCGGTCCAGCATAATATGCTGGAGTTCCAATATATTTACTAGTCCAGCATAATATACTAGAGTTTGGAGCACCGGTGCTCCAGTCTCCAGTATATTATACTGGAGCCAGCAGAGTATACCGGTCCAGCATAATATGTTGGAAGTTCATACACAGGTGCACCGAACTCCACTATATTATGCTAGGCCGGTCTCTGTTGCAGCAAAGTAGTGATTATTTTTCAATGACTTGGCAAACGTTGCTATTTTTGAATAACCAGTCCAAAAACTAACTAGACCGTGCTATTTTAACCGAAAATAGAGTTTCAAATTTATACCATAATCAATATGGATAGTAATTCCGGAATAAATCAACCAAATGATGAAGCTCTTCTCCCTATGTCCTATAAGAAGGCTATGGTTAAAATAGGCAATAAAAGTTTTTCCAAATTATTCTACTGTAAAACCAAACACGCTTTTTATACTGTACCCCGTATGTGTCAATTTTTATTCAATGTGAATCATTTGTTATTTTCAACTAGTTTCACTAAGAAATAATCCAATTAGTCTCATTAATGAAGTCTAATCTAATTCCATTGCTTCCTTTAACATTAGGTACTTTGCATGTACTTTATTACAGTATCTCATTCAAACCAAAAAGACAAAAGAAACAAAATTAAATTAATGTACGAAGATGTTTTTAAATCTTTACCTAAGTAGCCGACTGTATTCATTAATTTGTTTTCCTAGAATGTGTACATCAATTATACACAATTATGCTAATTATACATGAATTATATATTTACCATATGTTTTTAATTTAACCAGTTGGGGGTTTGGG